GTGCAGCTTGGGGTCATGTGATAGTCAGAGGCCATAGGGTCCCGAGATTGGGGCCAGGAGAAAACCCATGTGGGAGTGCACGAAAATGGGGTTCAAGCTGCGCGTGCTTGCCTCAAAAGGCGTTCTTGTCATCAAAGTTCAAATCCCGCCCTAAACCCTAAACCCTGGATCCCCTTCAAACCTGAGATGCGCCACTCCAGCGCACAGTTGAACCCTTTTGACGCAAGGTTTACCCTGCAAACCCACCATGCGCTCATGATGTTTGCATTGCTCAGGCCCTGGGGTCCGGGTCAGCATGATCTCAAAGAATAGGTAACAGTCTAATATAGGGGTCGGAAAAATTACTAATAGTATTCCCTTAGGCTCCCTTTATCAATATAGCCCCCCAAAACCCTACTAAATTGTTCAGGCCCCTATGTTAGCAGCCTGCCGCCAAAAAAGGATGTGCCACGAGTTTCTCAAAAGCATTCCAGAGAAAGCCGCGCCGTTTGACGTATCTCGGCTGGAGTGCAGGATTTCCTTCGAATTGCTTATGAGAACCCCCCCAAAAAATATATGTATATAATATATACATATTATGTATATATATATATAATAGAGAATTGATTTTATGTTATAGGAACCCCCCAAAAAACAGAAAGTAATGTAGGGATTTGTTGTTGTTTTGGGGGTTCTTAAGCAGATAGTAGCTTCAGGGGCTACTACTTGTTCTTGCTCCGGCGTTATCTGGGTTCAGGGCTTAGGGTTTAGGGTTTTGGATGTAGGGTTCAGGGCCTAGGGCTTCGGGCTTACGGCTTAGGGCGTGGGCCTTAGGGCTTAGGGCTTAGGGCTTAGGGCTTAGGGCTTAGGGCTTAGGGCTTAGGGCTTAGGGCTTAGGGCTTAGGGCTTAGGGCTTAGGGCTTAGGGCTTAGGGCTTAGGGCTTAGGGCTTAGGGGGCTTAGGGCTTAGGGCTTAGGGCTTAGGGCTTAGGGCTTAGGGCTTAGGGCTTAGGGCTTAGGGCTTAGGGCTTAGGGCTTAGGGCTTAGGGCTTAGGGGAACCTAGGTGCCTTTGTGTGGGAACCTGGGTGCCTTTTTTTCTCTCCCCAGACCCTAAACCCTAAACCCTAAACTTTTTTGTGGGTGCCCCCGTGACGAAGACATCGGATCCCCAGGTCATCACGCGGGAGGAGGCGCTCAAAGTCATGAACCGCCACGGGGCCCAAGTATTATCTCGGGGTCTAGGGTCTAGGGTTTAGGGTTTGGAGTTTGGGGTTTGGGGTTTGGGGTTTGGGGGTTTGGGGTAGGGTTTGGGGTTTGGGGTTTGGGGTTTAGGGTTTAGGGTTTAAAGGTTTAGGGTTGGGGGTTTAGGGTTGTTGGGCGTAATCCCTTCCCCCAAACAATCATACGCACCCCCTCAATAACTGGCCCCAAAACCCGATCCGGTAGTCGCCCCTTTTGCAACCTCTACCGAATCGGGGAGGGGGGGTTCGGACTGACACCAGACAAGGCTTTGTGCCCCCAGAACCTTGACAACCTTCCGTTCCTCTGCACCCTCATTGTCAACCTTAAACCTCAAACCCTATAGAGGCTAAAGCCCCAAATTGAAGCCACAACCCTGACCTTGAACCGTAAACCCGGACGGGCTGTTTGTTCGGCTTTTTGGTCGTTTTAAGCTGTGGTAAGAAACACCCCCTGTAGCAGCGACAAACACTTGAAGGCTCATAGGTATTTGAAAGTAGGGTTCAAAGTGCCCTAAATTAGGTTATACCGACAGTTGCCCTACTTACAACCCTACCCATAAGCCTCTGAATTGGGATGTTCCCCATTATACTACTAACAGTCCTTATTGGGGATTATAGTACCCCCCCGATTATATTCCTGGTTAAGGACTGTTAGTATAAGGGGGAACACCCTAAACCCTAACCCTAAACCCCTAAACCGCTAAACCCCTAAACCCCTAAACCCCTAAACCCCTAAACCCCTAAACCCCTAAACCCCTAAACCCCTAAACCCCTAAACCCCTAAACCCTAAACCCTAAACCTGAACAGCAGCTGCCAAACAAGGTAGCCTCCGCCACTGCGCCGACCTCTCTCTGGGCCCCAGTGCCGAACTACGGCATGCGGCGGCCCGCACCAAGGCTTCCGGCGGCCGGGGAATCTTCCCTGAACCCGAATTGAAACCCCCCACTCCCTAAACCCTAAACTCCCTACATCCCTAAACCCTAAACCCCAAACCCTAAACCCTAAACCCCAAAACTACCCGAATGAAGGGGGGGTTGTTGCTTTGGGCTTTGGGCTCGTGAACCTTGGATGATTGGAACCTTGGGCTACTTTTCTCCTGAAAGGGCTGAGGGTTGTGTGATGTACATTCTCTCGGATTATGCTATATCATGGTGCCGTAGTACCTACTGTAGCTGACCCGTCTTTATAAAAGTGTCCTGAACAGTCGGAGTGGATCCGGATGACAAAGTGGAGGATGGCAGAGAGAGAGAGGGAGAGAGGGAACTTGTAAAGGTTTTAGGGTTTAGGCTTCTCGTTTCGGGTTTAGGCTTTAGGGTTTAGGGTTTAGGGTTTAGGCTTCTGGTTTAGGGTTTAGGCTTCTGGTTTAGGATCTAGGGTGCGCTGACTTGTCGTCATCTTACAGGGCGTCAAGGTTAGCGAGCAGGATGGGGAATGTGAAACGTGAGAGAGAGTTTAGATCCCCAAATAGTAGGATCCGCTTAATGACAAGGAGCTGAATAAGGTACCCCCCCCTAATTACCCCCCCCTAATTTCGGAAACCCCCAAATGTTTATTTTTGCTTTACGGAGGTTATAGAGCAAACGGCCTCCTGACGTTTGTGTGTTTCTAGTTTCACGGTCCCTTAATATGGCCCCTTACCTTCGTTAAAGGGTTCTGATGTATGGGCCCTTGGGTCGTAGAGGGTATGTAAGGGGTATATAAGGGGCCCCCGGGCCCATACTAAGGGACCATGAAACTACCCTAAGCCCTGAGCCTTAAGCCCTAAGCCCTAAACCCTAAACGCTAAACCCTAAACCCGAAACCCTAAACCCTAAACCCTGAACCCTGAACCCTAAACCCTAACCTACTAAGGGACCATGTAGCTACTCTAAGAATGTTGGCACCTCCTGAAGGAATCCTTCTGCTCAGCGCTGGCAGAGCAGCACAGTGGGCCGTTTGGTGCCTTGCAGACACGCCAGAGAGATTGCGAAGCTGAAGCAAATGAAATCCCGAAGCCCTCTAAGCCTAGAATTCGTGTAAGCCTATAGCATCTAAAGAATCCTTGTGGGCTTATAGAACCCTAAACCCTAAACCCTAGGTGCTGTCTATCTATCGGGTTCTTTGTAATTTCGCGCCGCCCTCAGAAGTAGGTGCGCGTCGTTTATCCCTAAACCCTAGATTCTACGCCCACAAGAAGTAAGAGAGCTTGGCTTGAAGGGTTTAGGGTTTAGGGTTTAGGGCTTAGGGCTTAGGGCTTAGGGCTTAGGGCTTAGGGCTTAGGGCTTAGGGTTTAGGGTTTAGGGTTTAGGGTTTAGGGTTTAGGGTTTAGGGAAAGGTTCATTCAACCTCAACCTTGAGACCCTCGTGACTTTTGTGGCTCTCATTTGTCAGCTCCTCTTGTCCTGCCATCCCGGGGTTTCCCAATACAGGGTGGGGCCCCCTAGTTATAAGTAGAGTTATAAGGGCCCTAAATTGGGTTATAAGGACCCTAAGTTAGGTTATAAGTCCCTTAACTACAGTTAGTATAGTAAGGGGGCCCCACCCTGTAATTGGGCACCCATTTTGAGGGTTCCTAGAAAAAGGATGATGGTATTTTGGGGTTAGGGAGCCCTTATTTTGGGAAATACCGATTTTTCTGCGGACCTCACCATCTGGGAAAAATGAGCACGTCCTGCACCACGATCACTCTATAGGACTGGTGTGGCAGATTCTGTTATTAAGGTTTAGGGTTTAGGGTTTAGGGTTTAGGGTTTAGGGTTTAGGGTTTAGGGTGTAGGGTTTAGGGTTTAGAGTGATTGTTGGCATATGTTCAGAAGGCTGATTGTTTGGGACTTCAGCACCGCAACTGCAGTCAGTCAGGCAGACCTAAACCCGAAACCCTAAACCCTAAACCCTAAACCCTAAACCCTAAACCCTAAACCCTAAACCCTAAACCCTAAACCCTAAACCCTTGTTCCAAGTCTCCGCAAGACCAGGCGACGACAATTGCCTTCGGTTCCGCAAGAGGCTGGCCGAGCGTTCCGAGGCTGCACTTGGTACCTCTTGATGACTTCACATGTCTGAGTTCCCTGGGTTTAGGGTTTAGGGTTTAGGGTTCAGGGTTTAGGGTTTAGGGTTTAGGGCTTAGGGTTTAGTGCTTTCGGGTGTAGGGTTTGAGTGGTTTACAGCCTTGGGTGGGGAGTTCACGGCTGCTCACTAGGCGTCTCTCAGTCAAGGGCGTACCAGGTACATCGGTCGCTGACAACTTCTGCAGCCTGCAGTAATGGTCCTGGCGACCCGAAATCCTGAACCCAAATTCTAAAACCCTAAACACTAAACCCTAAACCCTAGACCCTAAACCTAAACCCAAACCCTAAACCCCAAACCCTGTCAACCTCCCCTGAAAATGCATCTTCGGGCCCCCATGGAGTCCTTGCGAGAAGTGTTGGCCGAGGTCTAGCCACCTACAACACCTTCTCGCAGCTACTTGCAGCCACTCAAGTACTGCTGTTCTTTGAATTCGCATTCATGGGCCCATTTGTTGGTTCCCTAGCATGAGTATAAACATATATATATATATATGGATTCATTAACCATCCACATACATACAGATGCATATACACGCATGCGGATATGGCATGGTGTTGCTTAGCTCCCGTTTGCAACTTCACCTCAGAGAAGCGGGTTTAGGGCCAAGCGGGCCCACCGCCCCAAGAATCCTCACCTCCGTACCCATTTTGGCTCAAAGAGCTGACGTGCTCGAGCTTCCCAAGGCCGTTTTGAAACCTAAACCGTTTTGCTTTCCAATTTGCGCGAGAGCAATGACCAAGGCCGAGCAAAAGAAGGCTGTGCAATTCACCCGTATGTGCAAATTCTGGCGAACGAACGAGTGCAAGATGGGCGTGGACTGCACGTTCGCTCACTCGACATCGGAGTTGCGCCCCAGCCCAAAGTCATGCTTCGACTTCGTGAAGAACGGCTACTGCGCGCGGGGGCATTCGTGCAGGTTTGTGCACCATGTTGTCGAGAGTACAGAGCCGGGATTCACATACATGCAGCACTCAAACTTCCCGGCATTCCAGGCACAAGAAGATGCACTTCTTGCCGCGTGCATGATGCCAACATACCCCCAAAATGGTCCCATGAGTCCCATGGGCGTGGCAGAAGCACAGCAGTTTCGCCCATCGCGTACATTCGCCGGGCAACCGGCCCAGTCGCGCGACCCAGGGCCAGCTGCTGTGAGCCCCCCAGGGCTGGACCAGATACTTAGTAGCTGAATGAGTACACTTTACATTTTTAGGGATACTCTTATCCCCTATAGAACTGAAAGTGTACATTTTTTGGGGGCTTATGAACTCAGCAACTAAGGATACCCTTGCCCATGAGCCTCATCGGTGATTTTGAGAACAGGGTGGACGAGCCGACGACCGCGGAATCACACCGCTCCAGTCTAAGTGGAGCTTGGCTGGGGATGGAGTACAAGAACATGGTGATCGAAGAGATGAAGCATGCTATGTGTCGAAGTGACTCGCCCACGCTATTTAGTGACTTTGAGCCCCCCGACAGTATGTTTTGGGTGGTGTAGCATAGACGAGCCCTGAACATTTGAAGAAAGTGCTCGGCACAGCACGATCGAGCGGCAACATGCACAGGCATGCACCTTAGTTGCAAGCGCACTAGACTTCTATCAGGCCACCATCACTAAGAACTGGTTGGGTTTGGGGCTGGGGGTGTCGGTAGTGGTGTCGGACTAGCTTGCCTGAATGCGTCGTGCCGCCAACAGCAGCCTCGGGCCTCCACAAAAGAACAGTTAGAGTTGAGAGGAAGGTGCATGCAAGTTGATCAAGATGTCTAGGGCGTAGCCCTTCGAACGTTCTTCATGGGTTGTGCCGGAAGGGGATTCTCTGTTGCACCACAACCTTTCAAACTCCAATCTACGACCTGGCAATATTCCTGAGTCTCCTGGAAGTACAAGGGGGCTGACCTTTCCCGTTCACGGCCTTCGTTGATCGTTGGCCTAGAGCAAGGGGAGAGGAGTACATCAGTCAGCAAGTCTTGATGTTCAGTTCCACTCAATACAAAGGGTCGGACATGGATGGGTTTTCTTGAATGCCAGACGACCTGATTTCCTGCAGGTCCGTCTTGCCGCGTGTTTCGGAAATCCCTGGCGCTAGACGCTGCACAGCCAGCCGCGTTAGGGTGTTTGTCAATGCGCGTGACGTTCGATGGTTGGAGGCGCTGCTGGCCTGGGAGCAGTCATTGAGGGTTTAGGGTTTAGGGTTTAGGGTTTAGGGTTTAGGGAGTCCAGATGCAAAGGGCTTAGGGTTCAGGGCCAGTGGCGCTGTGGTGTTTGAACAATGTCAGTGCACATCTCGATCGTTACGGAGTGCCAAAGAAAGTAGTTGAAGATGTGCTGTAGCTGTTCTGTAGACTTGCTTGGGTGCGTGGTGGTGCACTGGAGGCTCGAAAGTTAAGTTCTTTCGTGCAGGAGCTGTGGTTCTGGAGCTCTTTTTTAGCCTATAAGGTTTGGAGTTCAGGCATTGACTGTTTTCAGGGTATGTCGTGAGTTGTCACGATGTCTTGCGCAGACGGTTTTGCCTGTGGCGTTGAGAATCGTAGACCACAGCTCCTTTGCGTTGGAAGCATGGCGTGCGACAGATCTCGTGAGCCTTGGACAACGCCAATCTTCCGTGAAGGATCATATGTCATGCATCCTTGGGTCAGCGAATTAGGGTGACATGACTCGGTACTGCTTTCACCGACATAAACCTGGGCACAACTCGAGAAAGAGCAAAGCAATTGCTGGTGTATGTGTGTGTGTATGTGTGTATGTGTGTGTGTGTGTGTGTGTGTGTCTGTGTCTGTGTTTGTGTTTGTGTTTGTGTTTGTGTTTGCGTGTGTGTGTGTTTGTGTGTGTGTGTGTGTGTGTTTGTGTGTGTGTGTGTGTGCGTGTGTGTTAGCGATAACGACTCGTCTTGTCGGGCATGTTCCCACGATGCTTGGGTCCCTTGTCGTCCTCTGAGCTACCCCCCGGCTGCGCGAGGTTCCCCTCAACCCTGAATTCTAGCTTCTGCTTTCTTTGTTTCGGCACTGGGTAGGTAGCATTTGCGCTTTTTGGTCATACATAATACTACTAAGCATATGTATATATAATATAATATAGATAGATATAAATATAAATATAAATATAAATATAAATATAAATAAATATATATATATATATATATATATATATATACAGCATATATATATATATATATATATTATAGATAAACAGATATATATATATATATAGATAAAGATATATATATATATATATATATGGAAGACCTTTTTGGGCTAGGCTATTCAGCCCCTTAGTTTAAGTCTGATGGTGGAAGGGGGCCAAGTTAGGAACGACCGCGAAGGTGAGCCACGAACAAACTGCCACCTGCGCATGCCACTCCCAATTACTATACTTGGGCCCTTAAGGGGGTTCCTCGAATTGCAGCTCTAGGGCCCTAAACCCTAAACCCTAATAAACCCTAAACCCTAAACCCACAAACACATACTATATATTCACGTGGACCCTGAGAGAATGGCTTGAGAGCTTTTGCTAAGCCGCGAACGCTCGAAGCCCTGATCGTAAGCTCTCTAAATCCCAGCGCGTTTTTTCCAACCCTATTTGAAGGTTCACGGGTACTTATAACTAGAGTTAGGGTTTAGGGTTTAGGATTTTGGGTTTAGGATTTAGGGTTTAGGGTTTAGGGTACCCTTAGAAGCATTATATGTAAGGACATAGCCATAGTTTCCCTACTCTGAATCCTACTAATAGGTAGGCATGAACCCATGACGGGGAAACGGAAATGGGCATCGGAAGTGACATCCTAAACCCTATACTCAGAGGTTCATGTGTACTTATAAGCAGGGATATAAGTACCCTAGGTAAGGCGATAACCATCCGTGTCCTGCACATAAACCCATCTATAAGTACCCATGAACCTCCAAGTAAGCCCTACACCCTACACCCCACACCCTAAACCCTAAACCCTAAACCCTAAACCCTAAACAGTGTGTGCCTCGCCTGGCTTGTGCGAGTGTGTTAAACCCTAAACCCTAAACCCTAAACCCTAAACCCTAAACCCTAAACCCTAAACCCTAAACCCTAAACCCTAAACCCTAAACCCTAAACCCTAAACCTAAACCCTAAACCCTAAACCCTAAACCCTAAACCCTAAACCCTAAACCCTAAACCCTAAACCCTAAACCCTAAACCCTAAACCCTAAACCCGAATCAAGCCTCCGCTGACGGCTTCCCGAGGCTCCAGTGCGAGGTGAACGCGATCCTCAGCGCACTCCCCTCGCGGAGCTGAAGAGCAGCTCCGCGCAGGGCTTTAAGAGGATGTGAGGTTTAGGGTTTAGGGTTCAGGGTTTAGGGTGTAGGGTTTAGGGTTTAGGGTTTAGGGTTTAGGGTTTAGGGTTTAGGGTTTATGGTTTGGGGTCTACGGCTGAGGCAGAGATGAGGCCAAAAGCGCTGGCTGTCTAGCCAAGAAAATGAAGGCACCCATCGAAGATCATGTCCCCAGCAGGTCCCTAGTGCCCTACCCAGAATGGCTTCTTCAAACAGGGTTTGTAGGGTTTCTAGGGTTTAGGGTTAGGGTAGCAAAAAGGTTCAGGGCTTCTTCGTTGGAAAGGGTCCGGTCTCACAGAGTTCACATCCAGGGTCTGGCTTGGAAACACCAGTATCCAAAACCCTGCACTTGTAAATGCCCTAAAACCTAGCCCTAAACCCTCAACCCTCGACCCTCAACCCTAAACCCTAAACCCTAAACCTAAACCCTAACCCCATTGTAGCCATAGCTACCCCACCTAGAACCCCGCTTAAAAACAACCCATGAACCTTCAAGTGGTTTTTTAGGGTCTAAGCCCTATAGACTCTTATCCCTAGACACCGGCCTCAGTCCAGTCCCATACCCTGCAAGGGGCTAGGGACTTCAACATCGCGAAAGCCTGAACCTTGCAGGATAAGCCCCGGATTTGGGATCAGCTACGCTTAACGGCACAAGTTAAACACCATGTTTTGACCATGAACCTGCTCAGGGGTTGAACATTTTTGACCATGAACCTCCTCAGGGGTTGTTGAGTCTTGAAAGACGGAGGCCCCTGAACCCTAACAGGATCGACGGAGCAGGTTGAGGGCTGAAAGGGTTAGTTCGGAGGCGTAATTAGGGTTTAGGGTTTAGGGTTTAGGGTTTTCCTTTCCTGAGAAGGCGGCATTTAGTGTGGAACAATGCATGTGCAGCCTTGCTGGCCTGACCAGGAGATGTGCCCGTGAAGCGGGCAAAGATGCTAACATCGTACATCACGCGGCCACTGAAATCGTATCCGTTTCATGATGATGCTGGATCGAAACGGGGCTTTGTGTGGTACAAGAGCAAATGTTTTCCCTTGACGATCCCGTTGCTACCCAAAGTTTCATTGGCCCCTATAGTTGTCCATCTTTGCCCCTTCAAGATGTCAGTGAGAGATGATGTTATGGGGTCCTTAGAAGAAGGGGGTTCGTGGGGGGGAAGCTTAGGGAACCTTAGGGGTTAGTGGGGAGTATCAACGAAGCTTGGATTACATTCCCCCCTTGAACCCCCTCCCGTTAAGAACCCCAAAATGCTAAACCCTAAACCCTAAGCCATAATGATGCTACACCCACGTCTCTGCCATTCCTTTGGCTTGGCCTTAGCTGCTGCGCAGTTATGTCGGATCAAATGTTTCTACCAATAGTTTTGGGGTTTAGGGTTTAGGGTTTAGGGTTCAGGGGCTCAGGGCCATCACAGCACCCTGAAGGGTTTTATGGTTTAGAGAACCGACAAGGAAGCGTAGTAGCTATCGGGTATATGCGCAAGGGTCCATGTACCTATATGGAGAACACTTGGGCCTTAAAGTACCTCCTACATAGGGACGTTAGGGCCCAAGTACGTTCTACTGAGGTACATGGACCCTTAGGGTATGACCCCCCCCTGATTGTCATTGGGTCCCCACAGACACACAGCACCTCATGAGCCGCAGCGACGGCGATGGCTCGGATGGCTCTGATGACGGCGAGGACTTAGCCAAGGGTTCAAAAACTTTTTGGGTTTGCTTATTTAGTAGGAATGGTAAACCCTAAACCCTAAACCGTGAGAGTCGAAAAAAGCCTTGCCGCCCTTGTGCGAGTGTGAGAGTCGAAACCCTAAACCCTAAACCCTTTTTCTCCTCTGGTTATTGGAGAAGTCAGGGCGAGGACCTTGAGAAGAGCCAGGAGGAGCTCCAGTTGGAAGCGGAAATCCGCAGCTGGGTCGGGTTTTGGGGGGGAGAGTTTCCAGGTTTTTTGCCCTTGACCCCCTAAACCCTAAACCCTAAACCCTCCTTGGATTCAAGAGGGTCACATGATAGGAATATTCTTCAGATGGGTTTTCAAGGCAGCATCGAGTTGGACATCGCCCTCATGGACCTCCGGCGAGAGCTGGAAGCCCAGCTACCCTTCACCCCTGTTTTCGGCTAAGCCCTACACCCTGAACCCTGAACCCTAAACCCTAAACCCTAAACCCTAAACCCTAAACCCTAAACCCTAAA